ACAATCAATTATTTTACACATAAGTGGCAAATTCGCGAACAAAAACCCAAGTTAATTCGAATTCAAGAGTTTTGCATCACGTTAAAATTGCACGAGTATTGACGAAACACAAGCTGTTTTACCTTTCCGTCTTCTCATTATTCTCTTGGCTATCAGACGTACTGTACATTGGTGTTACTAAGCACGGACCATTAATCAGTAGATCAACTAATAGTTTCCACCTTCTTGCAAAAAGAACAATAACGGCCGTAAGGTTAAAAGTGCGATAATAAACATTTACTACATAACATATTTTGTATATCAAGTAGAATAATAAACACAGACAATAAATGACGTCACCATCTATTATACTGTTAAATATCATCAACGAGTACTGTTCTACTTATCTGACAGTCTCACTATCAATGCAAACATAATGCCTCAAAAAAAGGTCTCGATTCATTTAACTACTGGTGAAATGGCAATTAAAAAAAAAAATACATATATATACAATTATTTATCTCAGACGATAATTCTTATGAAATACTAATCATTATCTTGAAAATAATAACAATTCATCATATCGTCTAAAAAACGATTTCAAGTAACATTTAATTGATTTCTTAAATTCATATCTTAAATATTTAAAATATTATTACTCAGAGTGACTGTTGAACCGTTTAGATTAAGTACTCGTTGATTTACACTTAAAATAAGGAAAAGGCGTCTGGGAAATGTTAAGTTTCTCGATTACTTTAAAAACCGAGTCTTTCGACTGGGTTTCTGTTATTAATAAGACAATCTATGTAAATGTATAGCTAACCGAATCACAACGATATTTTTTATACAACGGCAATATTCTAAAATTGGATTCTAAAACTGAAATTGAACAATAAGACGGGGAAGAGTGTTCGTGAATATGGTCGCTGGTCATATTGAAATTCAGTCGACGATGTTTCTTTACATTATGCGATGCCAACGGTATTCGTAATGTGTTTTATTACTGCACACAATGACGACAACCTAAGTATTTAACCTGCGCCGAATCGGCAAAACTCAAACGTATTTTCGTTATTGTAATAGCAGACTCGACGACGGCTAGGTGTTTTTTTTCCCATGCGATTTATTATGGAAACTTAATCGTCTGCTGCTTGTTGTTTACTCGTTGCCCATACGAGGCGTTTAGTTTACAATATTATTCACATGTCAACACACGTGAATAGGCTGCGACCGCGTTTTGTCAACATATGGTCATCCGACGACTATTTCCTTGCCAATATGACGAAGACTATTTGTAAAAAAAATATTACCCAAACAAGTCAAACTTCCGAGTTCAGAGAACTTATTACCCAGACAGTTTTTATTATATTGATAACAACAACAAAACGGGTCTTGTGATTCGCTCGAAACTCCCGAGGATCATCACACGACGTTTTAACTAGTTAAGACAAAACCGTTTACCACTAAAGTTTTTTTAACGATTAAAAAAGCTGCTCGTGATACTCAAGAGTTTATACAAAACCTAAGACTTCATTTTCGAGAATTTTGAAAAAAAACAACATGCACAAAGCTCGCTTTCATAAAGATGTAGTGTCACAGTTGTCAGTAGACAGGACCACATCTAGGAACACTGGAAACACGTGCGACGGGTCTCAAAGACGGCACTGGAATGAATAGTAGTAAGAATTAAATAGCTGAAGACTTTCTTCAATTAAAAAAGATAGCGATGCAGGGAAAAATTGATTTGACGAGCAAAATAATAAGGTCATTGGCGGCGGCGGCGGCCCTGCATTCGTCCGTCTACCTCTCGGCGGCGGCAATCGTCATCAGATCGAGGGAATAGTCGAACATCAATCCCTTCCCGGGCGCAATTCCATTTGCAATTAAAACGCGGATGCGTGCCGAGTAATCGACGACATTAGTCGTGGAAAACTCGTTTCCGCGGTGTAATCGTCGAAGTATCAATAATTACTCAATGGACGTTTTGTGGGGTTATCTGTTGTACTGCGGTGCCGAGAACAAATCGAATTCACGTTATATTATTAATGGACCGTTTATCGTTGTAATATACCGCGCGCCAGTCAGTAGAGGAAAACAACCGCACCGACGGTGGCACATTATTATCATTGTAAACAACTTGTAACAACAGCCATCGGTACGCAAAACGCACAACAATCCTATTTGACGATATTATCCAAAGCGGTTGCAATGAAGTAGCTTTGGATTAGTGGGAAACAAGCGGGCCGATATCAGGTTTTTAGTGTAGGCGTGATAATTTAAAAAAATAATAATAAATTGCGTCGACGAAGGTGTAAAAGCGGACCGACTCAACATCCGCCGAAAACGACCCGAACTCGGTGTAATCAGTTTTGAGTAGCACGAATCGTGCCACTATTTTTTATCTTATTATATTTGGACTTAAGGGGTGAACAATGACCTTGTAGTCGAACAAAACAGACGTGTTGAATTATTATTTATTATGTTATTGGAGCCGTTTTGCGCACGTGAGACTTTAACGCCCTAAGAAGCGGGTAGGTAGAGATAAAACGCTCTTATTACAGCAACCCTCGTAAAAGGTCCACAACGCACATGTAGCCCAAGAAATGATTTCCGTTTAGTGTTTACAATATACAGCCGCCGTTCTGTGAATTCTATTACATAATAAAAACAATATTTAACGCGTAAATATTCTACACTAATATAAAGAAGCCATTTAAACCGGACCTCGCTCTTATTAAAAACGGATTTGTGAAAACTATAACGCGGCGGCGACATTGCATGTTCCATCATACGCGTAAAAAAACAAGGTATTATGATTTTATAAAAATCCCCAGGAAAATATGAGATTTACATTTAATTATTTTAGGGTTTGCCATTTCGAACGATACCTGCGCTTACACGCCATAGTCTCATGAAAATCTATTACTATACCGTTTCCTTAGTTGACTACAAATCCCTCGTACGCTACTTCATTTTAAAATTAGCTTTTATTATTGTTATCATTTCGTTTTGTACTCGAAGGTAGGACTCGTTCGATTTCAACTCGTCTTGGGACAAACATAAAAAGAAATTGAATCATCGCCATATAATTATTTTGTAATGCGGAGGATATGACACCCATATTCCTTCGTAATTACTCCGGTGCAACTAAACGCGACCGATAAGTTCCAAAAAGCCAACGGTCCATTACAACGATATAACATCAAATATAATAACAACGAATTGCGCGCAAAAAAAAAACTGACCGACTCGTCTTGTACTCATCTCGGTGCCGGAGTAATGAAATACCCGTGCGCGTTATCACCGTGCTAACTGTGTGTTATTGTTATTATGTTTTTGACAACGGAAAAAAACAAGTCGGCAATCGATGTTTTCTAGGTACTTCGTTATCACCTCGACAGCGGTAAAACAATTCATCGACACAAAAACAATCAACACTTAATACGTTACCGACACTAGTTACCAGTTTCTACCGCACTCGTTGCAGTGCGTCAATTTTCTCATTAAGAACAAAAACGTTCATTTAAAAGTTAATGGCGTTTCCGGAAATTACTGACGTCCGAACTAGTCATATGAATTGAAAAACGATTACTTAAATGATTATTATGTGCAGGGCGGATTGCGATTTGAGTACCCTGAGCCGGTTCGTCGCGTTAAGTAAACGGCACGAAAGTTGGCAAGTCGTCGCCGCCGACAACAAAAGGGTCGGCCAAGTAAACATTGCAGAGTGGCGCTCGCGTTATATTATCAAGTCGACCTCAACAAGAGAGAAAATAATAAAAAATAAACAAAATAAACGGATAAAAAGCAACAAACGTCCTTGGAACACTAAACAAGCGTAAATAGTGTATTATTTATGCGAAGGCACACCGTCAGTCGGAGGAGTATTAAGTGGCACGCGTGTTATTTCCCACTAATAAGTAGTTTATCGTCCAACTATTGCATTAACGATTATTATACGATTATTTTTTTTATCGTATTTATGCACATAGCACCGGTATTACGTCTCGGAAGAGGGGACGGGCTTACTAGATACCCTTCGCATTGCCCGCCGGGGTCTCGACACGATATATTCAATCAATTCCCCGGTAAAAAATTATGTAGGAAAAAACGAATGCGTTCAAACTTCACACGACTTACCCGGCAAAATATAGCGTGCAATTTTAGTTCGGAACCAGACGACAAAAACCGTCCAAGTGACGGTGACCCGAATCCGGAAATTTGTTAGGACACGTCTATCCCGCGGAGATTTATTTCCCAGACAAAAGATCACGACAACGATTTGTCCGTGGCCAGAGTGTAGTAATTGTTTATTATTTTGTCGGGCCACGACGTTGTGTACGAGTAGTCCGAACGTGTGTACTTTCAACGTGATCGGAATATCATTTAGTATTTATAAAATACATAGAAAAATGACTGACTAATAATAAAACACGCGGTGTCGACTACCACCGTTTAGACGACATCCCGCAAGACAAAAATAATAGTATTATGAATAAGATCGCATAGGCGCAGTCAGAGGGTGGATCGATTAAAGTTCCATAATTTTTACAGCTGTTTCGTTCACTTATGTTAATCGTATGCGTCATGTTGTCGCACTGTCGTTGTCACACACGCACACCACAAGGCGACAACAACACCATGCCGCTAATTATAATAGTTAAGGATTATTTAGGCGCGTAAAACGATCATTAATTATAATTGCTGTGTTTACATAATAATACTATGGTTGTGATATGTTACGTTCATCGGATAAGTTTACAAACCACTCGGATGTGGTCGATTTCAGTATGCGTACCAATAGTACTCATTTTACCATTTCATTGTAAATAAATATTGCTGTCAGACATGGAAAAAAATACCCGAAAACTGAATATTCTTCGAACCCGAGAGACCCGGTATCTCGTACCTAGCGCATCCGTTCCTACGACAGAGACAGAGAGCTGGGATTAGGGAGAAACCCCCCTGGTCGTGGTCACCGATATAGACGTGTCAATGTCGACGGTTGAGCGTGTTTTTACCTTTTTTGTTCAGATAGTTCTTGACGCATTTCAGGAACTCCGGCAACCGGAATGTGTGCATGATACTACTGCTACTGACGACGCCACCGCTACTGCTATCGCTAATACCACCGATGCTGTTGTTGTTAATACCAACAAACCGGTCGTAAAACCGTCGCCGTTGTCGTCCACCACAGTTACCGTCGTTTGTTTTCTTGCCAAAACCCGAAAACGCAATCGTGTCGTCCGCTTTGTCGCCGGCCGTATCCGACGGTGCGCCCGGACGACGCTGTCGACGGCTGCTGCAAGCACTGTCGATCCTCGTCCCGTCGACCGAGCGATAACGAAGCGCACTGCGAATTCCGGCCGCGTCGTCGGCCACCGTGTTTATTGGACGAAAGTACCGGTTCAGCAACAATCGCTGAACGAGAAAAGTCGAAAAGTGCACTGTTGCTCAGATAAGCTTACTCCCCCAACTCAACGGTGCTAACGAACGACAGGCGAAGACGGTAAAAATTTTACTATTCGCACTCGTTAATTATAGTGTGATATCGACACGGCATCAATTATAATTATTACTATTTTTCCCACTGGTAAACAAAAATAATTATAACACACTTATCGTTATACTTGTATCGTCGTCAAACAACGTTAACATGGGTGTACGGCGACGTACCGTCCGCAACAAACTGAACCGATTCCGAAGTCAAACTGAGCGACGGCAGCGGCTACAGTGGCGGCGGCGGCGGTCACGGTGGCGACGGCAGCGGCAGCGGCAGCGTCGGACGCGTATATGTTAGTAACACATTATGACGACGGGGAGGGGGAAAGGGTTACCCGCCGTCAAATAAGGCAGCCACGGCAACAGCAGCTCCACTATGTGTATTATTAATGTTGTATTATTATAGTATCTACACTATCTTGCATGAGTATTTTTTTAGGATATTTGTTGTGGTGTTCCCGAACGAGTGTCGGTGCAGCACGTGGGCGAATGCGCTAAAATATCCGTTGCCGATGTGTTTTATGAATGAACGTTTTTGGACACACGAACGGTTAGAATTTTAGGAGGAAACACAATATTTTATTTTCTCACGAAAAACATTGAAAATCTCGGAACGCAATTAGTTTTTTTTTGGCACGTTATTTCGCACCGATAATAGCAAACCAGTTTCTGCGCTTACAAAAACAATTGCATACTATTTTCAATAGGTAACATTGTAACGTAGTAAATTTTACGATTCGATAATAACGATCAAGTATGATCTCAAGTGTTTACCACCAACAATAAATCATCAGCGAAATTGTATTGTTAATATAACTCTACCAGTACATTTTAGTAATGTACAATGTTCGTCGAGATTGAAATAAATAAGGAAAAAAAAACGAAACGAGAAAACTTTACATAATTGTACTTGAGTTGGGTTAGGTTAAACACTCGTCAATGTAAAAAAAGAAAATTAATTTTTTATCCCAGCAAAATTCATCACGTAACAATTACATTATTTCTCTAGTTACAAACGATATTTTTTTTATTTTAAAACGGACGAGAACAATGCCAAAAATTCAGAGGTCATGGACTTTAATCCATTTGATAGCTATGACACACACGGACTCGGTATCGATCGAGTTGAGCCAATAAAATTCTGAGATCATTTCGTCTAAATTTAAAAGTTTTGTCATTTTATTGCTCGGCGCTGGCACATGACGAACGGGTTTATTTTTAGGCACATTAATAACACTATGGAGTCGTGTAATTTTATAATTTTTGACAACATGGTCAAGACGATAGATCTCAATCGGAGAAAAAAAATTACAACTACGAACAACATACGCTTGGGCAGACCTTGTGAACGCCGAGATCGAACAGAAATGTTCATTCCACACTCTGGGAGATGATTGAAGAAAAACAAGAATTAATTAATGTGTTTTTGGGAGTAATGTAAACCACACTCGAATAAATTAGAATCACGTGGCTATAGAAACCCAACCGCAAGGCCCTGAAAATGTTCGATAGGCGAACGGCAGTCGACGACACTGTGGATGCTTTCAGCTATTGATATCAAATAACGTCGTCAAAAGCTATTTTATATCCGTTACACATTATTATCTTAGGAAGTCATGATTCATTTTGAAGCCATACGCGCTAGTAGTTATTAAAACAATTAATGTCAATTAATTACTTAAGTACTTACTGTTAGTGCTTACGTAGGCTCCAATATGTACAGCATGCAACATTTACATTTAACGTTATATTTTATAATAATACTCATCCAGTTATTACAGCCGCATGTATTTCTTAAAACAATCAAATATAAAATTTTAATTATGCTACTTCTTGCGATTATACAGTTTAAATACTGCTGCGATGGATTAATTAATTGAAAAACTAATAACACGCTAATTAATGGTATTGGCTTACGAGAAAAATCACAATAAGCAAAAGGTATTCCCAATCAAAAGACAACTTTTGGAATAATTAAGAATTATTTAGTTATAATAATAATAATAATAAATTATATAAGGCGTAAACGACTAACACCAGTCATAAAAAATAATGATACGAGGGTTATATAAATGAAAAGACCTCAATTATGTAGACGCGGTCACAGGTAGTTTGTTTGACTTCATTTATCATAATAGTTTCAATCGATTAAATTTTTATTTTTAGGGTACATTATAAGTTATAGGTTTACTTTTATCCCAATTATTATTTTAACACGTACAATGCCCCGGGTAGGACCATAACAGTGGTTTGATTCGTAATGGATAATATATATGTCATGATTAAATAAAGTCTATAATTATAACCGTATACTATACTTAGAAAGGTACCAACTGGCCATACGGCTTACGTTTAATTGAACCTCGAAAACTTGTGTTTTTGCCGGTATAACCCGCGACGGACAATTATTTTTTACGAGCTTTTAATTTATTTATGCTGGTAATTATTTACTCAGAGTCTATTTTAAGAGAGTTATAAAAATATAGGACGTCGGTGTACCTAAATAAATAGACCTTTGATGTGTTACCGCTATTATTAAATTGGGTTGCCGAAAGTTAAAACGATTGGCACGAGGAACAGAGACAATCCCTAGCAGTGCCTCCAATATTACTCGGGTAATGGCAAACAATAAAACATTAATCCACGACCTTTGAGAATATGAGCTCAAAAATTAATCGCCATTCGATTTAATAACAACTAATGAACGCTAGATGAAATTAACAGGTAACTAAAACAATACAATTATTCGGTCGTTGACGTACTAACAGAGGAAGCGGCGCGGCGAAGGTGACGGGCAGAGGTACCAAAGGATTTGCAATATTACGCCTTAAATAGAATTATATAGGCCACTGATGTATTAGCCAGTGTACGTGAAAAATAAAAAAATTGTTGATATTGTGTTAAGGCGTGACCAAACACTAAGATAAGATTTAGAATTTTTTTTTTTCACCGACTAGCTTTCATCATACTTAGCAATAACGATATGATAACTACTCGACAGATAGCGCAAAAACATGAATAATCTCAACATGTAGAATTCACATTGCGTTTGGCCGTTTTTATGAATGAACAGAGCAACCGGTGCAATGTGTTAGTGTGTCCTCTGGCCGAGGAGAACGATGGAAGCATGTGCACTGAATGTAGAGGAGGCGTTGCAAACTGTACGCGCCGCAATAATATTATGTGCTTTTTAATTAATGATATACCACGAGCGTTGTATACACAACAAATAATGCTGTTGATTTTATTTATTAATTTTTTTTTTATCTAGTGCGCATTTCCCGTACATTGGCATCGAGGGTATCACTAAAGTGAACGATAAAAACATATAAGTTCAAATTGCTCAACACACTTAGTACAACACTCACTCAACATATTTTATGTTGCGTCGATTATGTTACTTTAAATTAATGTGAAATTGAACTCGCATTTGGATTAAACACATCCATAACGGGCGCAGAACAAAGCGAAAACCATTATGTTAATATTTGCACAATATTAAATAATCCTTTTAGATTTTTTGAAAGCAGAAGAGCATGAATTTGTACAGCGACTCACCCTTTATTATTAACAATGATATTATCGAGGATTTCCAGAACCCATCTGGTTGAAATCTAGGTCATACAATGAAATATGTAAACCTCATTTCTCTTTGATTAATCAAATTAGAAATAGTATGTTTCTACTTACTAATAAAAATAAATGTCTAGTTTTAGGGTTAGAAATTATATTTGTTTCAACTGGAAACGATAGTTAATCGATGTCGTTAATTTGTTCGCATGATGAATCATGAAATCGTGTTCGCGTTTTTATGACTCATAGTTAATTAACTTAATCTTAATTAAATACTTTGGCGCGTAGCCTATAGTTTAAGTACAACAAGCTAAGTAGAGAGTTACCAAGAAATGTTTAGAGAATAAAACATAATGAGTTCATCCGTCCGCACTTAGAAGTAATAAAGAAACCAAATTAGTAGAATAAGTCAACATTATAAGGTATGAAGATGAAACAAAACAAGTGATTGTTCTTGTTCGTGAAAAATAAAATAAAATCTTAAAGTTTTTCTAACGTAAGAAAGTTTTTTTTGTAAACATTGTGAGTACAGTATCATATTATATCATGTAATATTTTTTGTAATATGATTTTGTGACCTTTACGTTGAAATGTCACATGTGTTACTACAATAAAGTGGTTTTTAATACAAATTTAACATGAATAATAGCAAGATTTCATAATATTATATCAAATCAATGCGCTAACGCTATCTATCTCATAGCAAAACTCTTAAATTGATACTACAAAAAAAATCATCAATATATGATAATTTATATGATCTATGTTTTCATAATATCTTTTATATTTTAATTTCGAAGAAAATTTAATTTTTTAACAGTTCAATTTTCAATAATCTATAAAGACACATACGTTCGGATAATTGATGCTCGTGTCATCAAATTTTATCATATTTTTGTTTCAAATATTTCACTATTATAAGATTTAAAAATACAAAGTAATATTTAATATGTTTTATGTGTCACGTGTGTCTTTAAATACAAAAATACATAAATGTATGCTTGATATTGCTACAATGCGTTACAATTTTAACTTAAAATCTACATCCAAATGTCACACGTGTATATAAACCACACAAGCAAAACATTAACCGTAAGACATGCATGTTAATCGTAAGCACAAACGCATATGTATTAAATTATGCCTATTTTGAGATCAATAAATTAAATTATTATTTTTAAATGTCTTACCGTGTTTCCTGCGGGATATCCATAGGATGGGCGGAGACGGCAATGAACGGCTTCTGCCCGTGGGGAACTCCACGATGGGGGTTGGATATAATTGTCCGGAATACAAGCTAATACCTATAAAGAAAACGATAAATTGTAATGTTACTATATTTAAATCTTTCAATAAAAGTTTAAAAACATATAACATAAATCTATAGTAAAATACTCTGACAGTAAGTCAGATGAGAATTAAGATATTGTGGGTAAAATACAAAAGGGTTAACATCTAACATAATGTAGTTCAACATAATTTATGCCATGATAATGAAATTAATTTTTTTTTTTTTAATTACTATCAATGATTATTTACTTAGTTTAATAGCAGTTGCACGAAGTCATCAAACTTATATAATATGTCGTGTTACGACTAATAAGATAACTAGTCATATTGGTCATAAAATG